GCCACTGATTATTAATGAGTAAAACTTATTTGGTTTTGATAAAGAAATCCTAATTTTGGTGCCGGTATGACAACAGAATTTTCAAGATAATACTTATGAGAAATCTCAGGTTCAAAATGGGCCCCCAAAACGGCAGTGTTATAATGGCACAAATGACAATGTGGACTATTCTGACTAGGTAAACAGAAAGATGGCTCTTGGATAAACAAAACCCTATGATAATCATTCCTTGGGAACTTGTAAAGCAGGACTCTATCTGTCAGGAAGAGCCAAGCCTTTCCTTATCTTCCCTACAGCAGAACACTCCAGCCATGGGGCATCTAGTTCCCTAGCAACACACATCAAAGTCCCCATGCGAGCTCTGAAGTTATTCTGGCTTGCACACTTCCTCTCACTATTACCTCTGTCTCCTTCAGGACAGCCATGGCAGTTAGGAATTTCCCCAAAGAAACCTTTCTTCCTGCTTCACTGTGCTCTTCTCACAATAATCGACTAACTCATGCAAACCACACCAAGTGTCTTATACACAGGACTTCATTTATTCTTCACTAAGAACCTCTGAGGTAAAATAAGGGTTAAAGAGGATAACTACTTTGCTCAAAAGTATACTTTTGAGCAGAATTTGAATTCAATTTAGCTTTTCTTTCAGTTAGGCTGTTGCCAACAGAACAGAAGAAGGCAGAGTATAGTGGGAAACACACTACGGCCTGCTTCTACTCAGCAGGGCAGCTGCCACAGCAGAGAGGTATTTTTTTAACCAAATAAAATTCAGAAGACCAAAGCCCCTATTACATGATTTTAAACATCAGTCAAGAATTACTATGATAGCCCGTTGGCAAAGTTCTAGCTTTTGTCACCACTGGAACATTTTAGAGTAAGGCTCTAAAATACAGTAACACTCATGTTCAAGTTGGAAACATAATATTTTTCTATAAACACAACATGGGCAGCCTAACAACAAACAGATACAGCAGAAATCAGATCTGGTAAACCTCCTACTAAGCAGTTGGTTGCAACAAAGGAACCAGAAGGGACGTTTGCACGTTTCAGCAACATGTGGAGAATGTATTGCCAAGAAAGGTTAAGCAATGGATGGAGGCAATATCAATCTGGTTAGTGAAAAGTTCTTAGTTATACAGAATGGCCTGTTGGCTGGGTTCTCATTTGCAGACCTCTTCTGGTTTCTCTGCATATGCCCCCCCACACACATATTTACTTTGCCTCAGATGTTTATTATGAATTGGGATGCCCAACCGGAGTTTCAGTTCTCAAAACTCCAATATATAGCCTGTGCATTCCCAGGGATTCTGAAACCATTCCTTACAAGGTCAAAACACTTTCCATATAATGCTTTTTTACAACCTTCCTTTTAACTATATTGACATGTACATGCATGGTGCAGTTACAGCAGGCAAACTGCAGGTTTAGTGAAATAGTTTGGAACAATGACCTCAAATGCTACACTACTCACTACGTTCATCACAGTCTCATACACTAGAAATGCACGATGTTCCCACTGGAGATTATCAACACAAAGTGATTGATTTTATTAAACCTAACTGTCAATAGCATCTTTTTAGCATGGGAATTGAATGGAAAACTCTTGCAATGCATATGACACTGGTCTCGAAGGCCTCTGGAAGCTGTGCTTGCTGCTTTTGTCACGAAATATTCTTCTTCTATAATGCAAAGAAGGAGTGGCAAAGCCTGGGTATTAGAAAATGACTATTTGGAGAATATTTTTAATACACAGTAAAGAAAGGTTGTAGCCATTACAGTGCAGCAGTAATCCTTACAAAATATCAAAAGTGAACCAGACAAGCAGAGAGCTCCGAACAGGCAGGCGGATGAGCTCAGCAATGGCATTAACAAATGTGGAGATCTTCAGGACTCAGTGATAGGATGTTTCCCAAATGACCTGTTCATCCTGTTACAGAATCCTTCATGGGTGAAAGGTTCACTCCAAACACAACACAGATGGGTGGATTTTAAAGTGACAGAACTGAAAGGGGTCACTAAAATAACTTTAGGTTGCACACGACAGCAATCCTTATCTAAAGGTCTGCTTCTTGATTTTTAGTATAGTAGCAAATAATACCCCAAATCATTGGATCAAGAGTATTAAAATATTCTGCAGGATTTCTGACCATTCTGAAACACCAATTATCTATCTCAGAATGAATGAAGAAATAGATATGAAAATTTAGCTTTCTCCTCAAAATCCAACGTCAAGTCAATGTCTTCATTCTCACTAATGGCTTCTGGTTTGAAAACACAGTTACTTCCTATAAAAAACATGTTAACCTGGATTGAACTTCCTATGTCACTTTCAACAAAAGAAGTATTTTTACATTTTCTAATAAGATACATTGCTTAAACTGGTAATGTGACCACAGCTGTGGATAGAAACGAGTGCGAGTGCTCCCTAGGGTCCCGGAGAGTCAGGAGCAAGGTGCTGCGGCAGGAGTGTGTGCACTGCTCAGCCAAGCACTGTGTGCACAGAACTGTGCCCTGCCTGCTGGTCTCAAGCAGAGCTCACTCGGAGGTGTTGACATTTCACTGACTATTCCATAAACAACATGGGATTCTTTACTACTGGCATGCTAGAGGGCAGTTAGAAATTGCAAAACAGCATTAAAAGGAGGAATGAATGAAGTCATATGATTTCACAAAGGAAAATAAAATAAAGGCAGAGAAAAAGATAATTTGGCAAAACCCCAAAGAGTATGAGGTCTGCTGCTCTTTGGTGTCCTCAGTGGGCCTGGTGTCGGCTCTTAGGGGTAAACTGACACTCAGCTTTTTAGGATGGGATAAAATCCTGTTTATTCACACTTGGAAGAGAAACCCATGTCCAGATTGCTGCAGAAGCCCAGCTACCAATCTCCAGCCAGACAGCCTCAGTTCTGCAACACTGCTCCAGCTACTCTGCAGGATGTTATCACTGAACAGACTTGTAACTCAGATACATAAAGCAGGGTTGGGAATGGGACTACGAAACAGGTCTGTGTTTAAATAGAAAAATGTGGTGATAAGAAAATGCCACCCCCAAAACAAATAGTTACATGGCTATTCGTACACACACACACATACATACACACACACACACACAGTCTACTCTTTTTCCTTCCCCTACATGTGCATAAAAATCTGTTTACACAATTGTACACATGGGATTACCATGCTTCAATTTGGCAAAGAGTCAGCTATACAATAAATTGCATTTAATGCAACATGATTCAGATTTTATGTTGCTCTTTAGAATAAACATAACATGAAATATTACTAGAAAACAGGACAAGCATGACATATTTAATATTTTTATCACATAAAATTCTTGGATTTCAAAAAGATAATACTTAAAACATTAGGAGCAATGTGTAGCACAAGTAATGTATGCTTCTCTACTGGGCGCTCTTCCTACAAGCAAAGTTAAGATGAAAGCACATTAAAAGGCACAAGGATGGATTCATTAGGAATCTTTAGGCTACATTTGACTGAGTCTATCTTTTCCATGTTGAAACCTCTGCCTTAAAATCTCTGCTTTTAAACACATGATACCATCTTGATGCAATCACACAAACATGCCTCAGGGGTTATTTCCTAGAAGCTTATTCTCTGATGTGCAGACATCACTCTCTGGCTGTATAGATAGTCTGCTGTCCTTCCATCTACAAACAACACACAGATACATCTATGCAGATGTGCAAAATAGAATAATTTTCTCAGTCTGTCACAGCAACACTATTGAGAAGGATTGGCACAGAAAAGACAGATGATTTCTCTACTGCCTTTATCAGATCCAATTCCATATGGTCCCTCTTATACAGTAGGAAGGGATGGCCAAGGACATCCACACTACTCCACTGGAGAGTGGTTCCCTAGTCGTCATGCCTTGCTGTCAGAGGGCAATCAGCACAGCGCAGGCAGCTGCAGTCACTGTGTGTTAGGAAGCCTGCTTCCTGAGCAGCACTCTGCTGCTCATTTCCTTTGCCTTCTCTCATCTTTTAACCACCTTGAACTTTGTCCTAAAAGCCTTGACTTCCCTAGATCACTTCTCAGACATTCCACTATAAAGAACCTGGTGTCCAGTCTTTGCACACCGTGCTGTGTTTGTCACTGGTTATGTGGATCATTTACAAGCATATGAGTGAATATTCTAAAGTCCTATGTTAAAGGCATGTCTTTTTGCTTTGTCCATAAAATGTTCAAATTATGCTCTAATGTCCCTTCCTTCATGTATCTCTAATGTTACAGTGTCAATTCTTTGATCTACTTAAACTAGCAATTCTTCATTCCTAAAACAGTTACTACTCCAGACACTGTGCTGGGTGTAGGAAATACTGTTTTTTTTTTTTTTTTAAGTCACATATTATGGCCCTTGAGCAGAAAGCTTCAACTACATAATTCAAAATAAATGCATTCTGCTTAATGGGAAGATAATTCAATTCACATGAAGCAGAAAGAGTGTAAAAATCGTTTAGTCTACCCAGTTGGTAAATTGTAAGCTCTTTTCAAGAATATTTAGCTATTCACCATCATCCAGTGGTCATCTATTTCACTGTAGAAACTACAGAGGAAAAGTAAGAGAAAAATATCCAGGGCCCTTAAGGATCAGCTGATACCACAGTTCTCTCATACCAGATAAAAAAACTCTACAGAATTCAATCAGAAAGGCAGACACTGTTCATATTCAAAAAGGCAACATTTGGTGTGTGATGGATAAAGAGGAGGCCTTCTGTCTGCTGTGGACAGTGAGGCTGCTAACACCTACCCTGCTCAACAGGACCCTGAATGCCACACTCACATATCAACTAAAAAATAAAGTGTTTAATCTTGAGTGATCTATTTATTTGGGGGGCAAATTCTACTACTAAAACTCTTCTCAAGTGCAGAACTGGTTTGGATGATTCTCTAAAGAAGGTGAACTGGGTTTGTGACAACAGTACTCTCTGTCCTGACACTCACTTCCAGTGTTTCCAGCCCCAGGTCACTCTCCATACCTGTGTGGCTCCGGATGTGAACTCTCAGGGTCCCACTGCTGGCAAATTTCTGGCCACAATATGGGCAGACTTTCTCCTTTTCTCCTGTGTGTGTCTAAACAGGAATGAAAATGGTTGATGATGAATACAAAGATTTTGCTAAAGATGATTAAGTACTTCTGACAAAAGTAAATCTATATTTTCCAGGATTATGTTTCATTAAAATGATTTAATGTCACAATGCAACTTTAAGCAATTTATCATGGATAATCCCATGGGTTCAAAAATCCCTCAGAAGCATGCATTAGTGTTAATTTAAAAATAATTCTGCAGTTTACTGCTTAAGCCTTTATGGAATCCCTGTCTAACTAAACGTGATTAAGTTATGTAAAGCTAGTGCATGGAGGAAAACCAGATAATCAAAACAGGGCTGGAGTTGCCCTTGACTGTTGCCAAGAAACATTTCCTTTGAATCCTTTTCCACATTCTTTGAGCATATTTCATTCTGAAAGGCAGAATTAATCTCAAGAAAGTCATTTGTTACCTAGACTATGTTTGTCTGGACAGATTTTACTACAAAACAGAGAGCATGTATACATCTAGTTTGGCCTATAAAATCAGCAGGTGTCAATTGAGCAGTCAATTGGAAACAGAAATTCTGTCCTCCACATACGTATCATCTAGGCAGAAAATAATCATACTAGAAAAAGAGAAGGAGCGTGATGGGGGAGAGTCCTCTGTTTTGTGTTAATTTCATTGGTTAAATAAAGATACTGCCTTTGCCCTTTAATAGGACAGAAAATTAGGTAGGCGGAGTAGACTGAACAGAATGCTGGGAGAAAGAAGCCGAGTCAGGTAGTCGCCATGATTTTCCCACCCGACACAGCCATAGGTTAAGATCTTTCCTGGTAAGCCACCTCGTGGGCTACACAGATTATTAGAAATGGGTTAGATCAATATGTAAGAGCTAGCCAATAAGAGGCTGGAACTAATGGGCCAGGCAGTGTTTAAAAGAATACAGTTTCCGTGTAATTATTTCGGGGCATAAGCTAGCCAGGTTTCAGGAATGTAGCCTGCCGCTCCTATTACAACAGGAACGCCTGTAAAACACAGTTTAAAGATGCCAGGGATTAGGGCTGGGATGATAACTCAATGCTAGGATACTTGCCTACCATGCAAGAGGCTCTGGGTTCAATCACTGTCAAATAAATAAATAAACAAACAACAAAGAAAAT